CATTGGTTGGATTGGATTAAAGAAAATAAAGGACTAGGTTCTACTTGGTGGAGGGATGTATGCTGCATTGATAAAATGGATAGGGAGAGAGTAGGATGGTTGTTGGAAAGATTTAGAATAAAGCTAGGGGATGGTAAGAGGGTAAGTTTTTGGTGGGATAACTGGTGTGGGGTGGGCTATCTTGCTAATAAATTCCCTAGATTGTATCTGTTATCAACAGGAAAAGACAACAAGTGCTATCAAATGGGAAATGATGGAAATGAACAAAGGGGTTGGAACCTCCAATGGAGAAGAAAGCTATTTGACTGGGAGACTGAAGAGGCAAAGGAGCTCCAACAATTGATAGAAGACAAGAGGATCACGCACGGAAGGCCTGACTTGTGGGAATGGATGCATGACAAGGATGGACAATACTCCACTAAGACAACATACTCAATCCTAACAAAAGAACAGATAGAAACAAATGAGATCTCGACATTTAGAAGAATATGGAATCCCAAATTTCCAAGCAAAGTTTCAGCCTTCAACTGGCAACTTTTGCTGGACAGAATCCCAACAAAAGCAAATTTGGTCATTAGAGGGATTCTTGGAGAATCAAAAGATGGCAAATGCGTCTTTTGCAAAGTGGAAGATGAGGACTCCAGACACCTATTTTTGAAATGCAAAATAACCAGGTGGGTGTGGCAAGAGTGCGCTAAATGGTGGGGAACAGAGGTTCGGTTGGGAAGGGATTGCTGGAATTCATTTCAAATGTTTGGGAAATGGAGTAAAGATCCTAAATTAAAAGAAGGCTGGGATTGCATCTGGAGTAATGTAATTTGGACAGTGTGGCTTGCTCGGAATCAAATGATTTTCCAAGATAAAAAAACTGACCCGAGAAAGTTGCTGGAAATCATCCAAGTGCGATCCTTTCAATGGATTACTGCAAATCTGGACAAGTATGCTTTTACCCTCTCAGATTGGCTAATTAATCCAGTAGAATGTCTTAAAGGTATACATGCTGGTAGGAATAAGAGGGACTGATGAGGAGATATCGGGCTGCATAATTTTTGCTTAGTATAGAAATTGAGTTGGGTCATGATGGCTAATTTGAGCAGCTCTTGACTATAGTCTACTCCTTAATGGATTGAGTGGGTTAAGTAGATGTAGTCAATGTATGCTCAATGATATGATTGCCAGTGGGCTTCAATATTGGGAAGATTTTGATGTTCTAATCAGGGAGCTATGAAGTGTATGCAATGGCGGATTGAATTTCGTCACGAGTATAGTGTCGACACTTTTAGTGGATGTCGACACCTTGCTATTTCACTCAAGGAAATGTCGGCTCTCCAAACAGTATTGTTATGGGTTTAGGGTACCCTTTATAATCCGCTTATTAATAAATATATCTATTGCTGTTCAAAAAAAAAAAAAACTTAACAACTTTCTTTTGAGAAAATTTCGGTATTTCACTCCTTCCACATGTAATAAGATTACAGCTGCCAAAGCAATTCTAAGCTTCTTGCTAGACATTCTTCTGCCTTTACTAACCTCCTGAAACCAAACCCATTCAAGTGGCCACACCATGGGGTTCCTTACAACTCCACACCAAGCCAACACTCGGTGCTATATATACCTTCTTCAAGTATGCATACATAGGCACAGAGAAGAGATCCCTTATTTCTAATTTGCCCCATAAAGCCCACATAAAGGATCCACTAGAATGCCTCCTTCCAACAGAAACTCCTTAGTTTTCAATCTATTCAACACTGCCAACCACAAGAAAAACTATGCCTGCAGATGATCCCCCATGCCTATACACTCCTGCACCATGGAACCCTTCTTTTCTGATGTCTCAAGAGTAAGAGCTTCATATAAATTCTGCACAGGAAATTCTCCATTAGCATGCAGAAGCCAAACTGCTTCATCACTGCAGAATCGCAGCTGATGCCCTCCTTTTCAACATGAGCAGTGCTAGGGGCACTCGCTTTTTGCACTCTCCGGCTGACACTTCCCCTTTCATTGGGCCACGTAAGCTTCTTTAAAGCTTTCAGGCTAACCTCTCGGGAACCAACATAACGTGGCCCAATAAAAGAGAAAGTGTTAGCCGGAGAGTTCAGGAGACGAGTGCCCCTAGCATTGCTCTTTCAACATTGATCCAAAGCCCTGAAACTGCTGAAAAATTGTCAGAATACAATTTCAAGGCTGATGGGGACTCCTGGTAAAATATCGTCACATCATCTGACACAAATTTAAAGAAACCTACCGTTAGCATCTAACTCCAACAATTTTCTAGTGAAAATATTCCATACCAATTGCAAAAAAGTATGGAGATATAGCTATTTTTTTGCCAGGGACGAAGCTTGACAAAAATTTCAAAGATGGCCAAAACTTTATATATATAATATATATATAATATAAATCATAACATATATAAAATAAAAGATGACTTAATATAAAATATGACATTATAAAATTAAATTATTTCATTTATAAAGTGAGTATTGTAGCCAACTTATAAATTATATATAATTAATATTTTCAAAAAATAAGAAATCAAAATATCTTTTTTGCCATCAAAAATTAAAATTGTTTAATTACTTGAAAACATTAATAACGTACAACAAAAAATTAGAGAAAGACAAAAAGGGACTTAATAGAATTCTTTAGCTAACACAAAAGTTAATGTCTCTGTATAATAGAGAGAGGAACGAATGAGGGGGCGAGTAAAATTTGGCTTTAAATAGAGGTGTTCGTGGTGTGATTTGGTTTGAATTTTATTATTTTTTAAACCAATTCAAATCCAAATCGAACTAATTTAATCGGTTAATAAAATTTTTAAACTAATCCAATCCACTATTCTATGATAACCAAACTAATCCAACTTAAATTGGATCGGTGTAGTTCAGTCAGATTAATTGGTTTTTAATATTATTAAATATATAAGATAATGTAAAAATATTTTAATATCAAACTAAAAGTATAACTATAAAACAAATTAACATTCAAATCAATATAAACATAATAAAAGGTACAAATTATAAATGAGTTCTTATACTCTTTTACATTTGTAAAAATTGAAAAACTTTGAAATTTCTTCTTGGTTACATCACTAGAGGCACTAAGAATAATAAAAAATAATTTCAAATTTTTAGTACAGTGTAAATAATTTTTGAAGGTTAAAATTAGTTTTTTTTTAATGCACTAATAATTCAATCCCATTTTCTAAATCATGTTAAAAGTGAATAAAATTTAACATGAATATTACTCAAGTTGATTAGAAGCATTCTAATCAAAATTTAAAACTTTTAAACCAAATATCAAAAAATAGTAGAATATCAAAACTAATTTTATTATATAGTTTTAAGATTTTTAAAATGATACTTATTTAAAACTTAATTAGGAGAATCATAAGATTATTTTAAGAATAAATTAGAAATTTAGGGTTTTAAGAGTCAAGGCACAAATCAATTTTGAGGGGATAGAGTTGCAGGTGAATTAGAAATTTAGAATTAAGATTAGAGTACATGATTAAAATGGAAAATAACTTAAGGAATATAGAGATGTTCTATTTTTATTTTTTAATGAAGTTAATGGAGTTATTATCTTGTAAAATAAGAAAAAGAAAATTTAAAATAATACAAAAAAATGTTATATTATTTAATTAAATTATCTTCTAATAAGATTTTATTTTGTAATTGGGCAATTTGGGCGGGTTGAAGATAAAAACACAAACCAAACCAATTATATCAGTTTTAAAATTTTAGAATTCAAATCAATCCAATTTTATATCGATTTAGATCAGTTTTTAATTGGATTAAATTAGTTTAGGTCGGATCAATCAGATTGGATCGGATATGAATACCCTTAACTCTAGAAAATTTTGGGCTAACTAGCGATTTTGAAAATTATTTTTATGATTTTCCTTTTAAAAATGACTATTTTGTATTACTTTTTAATAATTTTCTTTTATTTTAAATAAATATTAAGGGGAACTTTTTACT